CGCCCCTGCAACCCCCCCCCCCCCTGCCCGTGCAAATGTCAGCCTTCACATCCTCTGCTATCAAAGGCTCCTGAGTCGCAGCAGGATCCACCCGAATCTGACTGCTCCTCTCACATCATACGGCTTCACACAAAGAGGGAGACGGAGGCATGACGAGAAACATTTGCTGTCCCCTGAAACACAGATCTGATTGATCCCAGCGTACACAAGGAAGGTACAGAGCTGCACATCAACAGCTTCGCATTTGTTACTGTCATTACCAACATCAATTACGCACCAACAAAGGCAGTCAAGACGGTGACTACAAAATGCACTTCATCTCACCTTAACTTATATCTTTTGTCTGATGGTATCACGACAGAATAATGTCTTAATGATTGATATGAATGATATGGCTGTCTCAAAACCATGTTATCTGAGGATAACATGGTTTTGAGTTGCGTTGTTGGACTTTTTCAGTTTGACCGATACCAAGGACTAAGAGTCAGGATATCTCTGCCTCTGACGCACTCATTTTATTCTCTATTATGTCTCTCGCAACTAAGCCCTTCAGCTATATGGAAGTGCAAAGCTAAATCACTGGAGTCACCCTCTAATAAAAAAAACACAACTTGTCATTTCTTCATTTCTGTTTGTCTGCAGATTTTAAAAACAAGATACAACATGTTAATTATTAAGCTCCATAGGTGCTGGTAGATGTATTTTTTTTTTTTACTTAGAGAGAGCTAGGCTAGTTAGCGGATTGCCCCTGTTTCCTGTCTTGATGCTAAGCTAAGATAATCACTTGGGTCTAGTTACTCACTCACACACACAACATGTGAGGGTGTTATCGATCTTCTTATCTGACTCTCAGCAAGAAGATCCAATACGGCTGAACATTTCTTCGAGGGAAGTTGAAGAAAATCATCACAAACAAACCTGTCTTGTGGAGCAAAACACAATTTTCTTTAATTGCTCCATTCAATATTCACAGTTGGGATGTAGAATACAGAGGAGATCTTTAGACCTTGTGGCACTGCGGCCCTTTGGAGCTCACTGTAGATAATTAGTGGCATGGCCCCGGGACTTATCTGCTGTGTGTAAGAGAGAGAGAGAGAGAGAGAGAGAGAGAGAGAGAGAGAGAGAGAGAGCTGCTGTGACCCGTGTGTGTGAAGTGAATCTCTAAGAGCGTACTGAGCTTGCATGTTTGCGTGCTATGCATTGAATATCTGTGTGTGTGTGTGTCGTGTGTGTGAAGTGAATCTCTAAAAGCGTACTGAGCTTGCATGTTTGCGTGCTATGCATTGAATATCTGTGTGTGTGTGTGTCGTGTGTGTGAAGTGAATCTCTAAGAGCGTACTGAGCTTGCATGTTTGCGTGCTATGCATTGAATATCTGTGTGTGTGTGTGTGTGTTTGAGATCTACTGTGGGCTCAAACGATGAGGGGCTGGCTGATTGAGACTTGAAAGGCTGGAAGAAGGGAGTGAGCGAGTCAAACGGGGCATTAGGGCTCGAGTCAGTGCGGTGTTGCAGAGAAGAGACAGAGGAGGAGATGAAGAAGAGGTCACTTTACCCTCACTGTTCAAAACAAAAGCTCTCTAATTACCAACACCTCTCCCCTTAATTCAGGTCTGGCAAAGTGTCTCTTTTCATTGAGGGACTTCTCCCTGCAGGAACAGGGTGGTACTAGATAGAAGCTCTTGTTGTTTGATTCCAACCCAGACATTCACCTCTGATGCGTTAGATCACTGACAACCTTTCTGCTAGAATACCTGCAGGACATATGTCACGATGACAGCCTAGAAAACAAGAAAAAAAGAAAGACGACATATGGGTCGAGGCTTTTTTGATTTCACTTATTTGCAGAAGTGCGGGTCGTGTAACTTTTGTGGAAGAGCAGGGGAGGGTCTATTATTTATGTTTTACAATGTGTTTCTATAGTGATGGGAGGATACTACAGGGTTTTTATGAGTGAAGGAGAGAGTTACATAGAAAATATAACAATGCTTGGGTGGGTTTGGCTTTTTGTTGAATAAAATATAAGATAAAAAAAATAAAAAAAATGAAAGACTCTGAAGATTTTCTTTCAACATGAACTGACGCATTCTGAATACAGCATTTCTAAGTGGGAGGGTAAGTCTGAAAGGTCCCAGCGGATAATGTTGAAGCTGAAGAGTACGGGTGTAAGAAATAAATAAAAAAGACGACCAAATAGTGCAACCCAACAGCAAGAGAGTGAGCAAACCATACAGGTGCATATACCTGTCTGCCACAGGATATTATTTTTCTATTTGCCAGTGAAGGAAAATGATCACTTGATTCTGTATTTAAGGAGGTTTTAGTTTGCTTTACAAGTAATGTTTTGGAGCACTTACTTTTCTTCGACTGCAGTTCTACACTTCACTACACATCACATAACTAAGTCACGCCTCCATAACTAAGTATAAACGGAATCATTAGTGAACAATCAGTCAGCAGAGAAGAGACAAAGGAAAGTCAATCTGAACCCGACTGTAGGCCTCTGACCCGGGCCCTACTCCAAAATGACACGCCCAAAATGAAGAGAGTCTATCTCCGCAAATACAAGGTCTTTTTGAATAGTCTCGGTACCAAAATAAAGGCAATTCATTTCCACCGTACAGAACTATACACTTTTACAGTGAATATCCCTTTGGAATGATGCAGTTGCAGTCATAAACCATATCATGAACATTAACTGTGCACAGACTGATGCCAGTTGGAGAGGTCCTGGTAGAGGAGTGTTCAGGCAGAATCTTAGAATTAGAATGGGAGCATTTGGGTAACATATGCGCCATTTTACATTTTCTCAGGCAACTGTAAAACTCATTTACATGTCACTATATATAGGATTCCCACCAAAATACTGGTTTTGACTTTTTTATGACCCTTACGACACACTGTACTATGACCTGATTCTATATACGATACTCTGACTTTTTCTACATGCTCTAATATTACTTTTTAGATCGACTATACTTTGACTTTTTTTTTTACTTTTTTCCCCCACGTACTATACTATGACTTTTAAAAAAAAAAGTCATAGTATAGTACTAGTATAGTACAAAAAGGGTAAATTAACTTATGTCAACTGTCAATTATCTGCATTTTTTATGAGCATAATTAAAAAAACAACCATCCACCATGCTGGTATTCAGATGGCTTGTAAATGTTGGTTCAATACAGCAGGATTCTTTACAACGGCTCTCTCTTGTGGTCACAAGGATTACTGGACCATAAAGTGAGCAGATCACTAAAGATGCAAGGAAGTAATGAATAAAGCTCAGATGTAGTTCTTTGTGAACTAACTGGCTTTTTACTCATATGGGACACTTTGTTTTGTTCAATTTGTTCATCTGCTGTGAAAACGTAAAAGAAAAACAGACACATCCATTGTGATTTTATAATATATTTATTTTTTTTAAACTTTTCTTTCTTTAGAAAAAATGATGAGGTCCAAGTGTTTTAGAAGCCCTGCCTCACCCTATGTTCCCCAGCTGGCTAGCTTCACTCTTAAAGCAACCAGCAAAGAAAAATAGTCATATGGACGATCGATAATATACACCCCATATACAGCAATACATAGTGGTCTACCATAATGTTACCAATAATACGCAACCTCCTATGAGGCTTCAATTCAAACTGTTGCCACTGATATGGTTCATTTCAAAAGCAACTGACAACTATACATGACGGTTGTGATTTTTGAGAAGTGAGGATGGGTTTCAGGTTGAGTGAGGTGACTCGGTCACACTTTAGCTGATTAACACATGGTGGCTTTCACTCAGACAGCATTATGACTCGACTGTTGACCTGTTGACACCCCCCCTTTAAACCAATCAGGTTCAGCATAAGTGCAAAGTTTAGGAGGCACTGACACACTCTGCTATGTGGAGGAGCCCGGGTAAACGTCGGCCCCTCCTCAGCGCTACTCTGTCAAACCGTTTCCAAGGGTTGAAATGTTGCATTACAGAGACCTCTCTTTAATCTGGTAACAATGCAGGTCGGGACACAGGAAATGGGATTTTATCAGCTTGGATGTGAACAGTCTGCTGTATGGATCCCCATAGAATTACATTTCAAAAAGTCCACTTCAGTTCTACCAAGTTCAAGTCCTTCCTCTGAATTTAACTTCTATGTTTCTCTCGTATTTCGCCTCATCCTGCATAAGGTAACAGCCAGTGTAAGACAGGGCAAACTGTGTAAAAGTGTGTGTTTGCATGTGCCAGTGACCCCCCGCCCCCCCTCCCGCAGTGGTAGAGACAGCATAGAAAATATTTCTACATGTGCGTGAAATAAAGACGGCGCCTGTGCACAGTGTGAGCGGGTGCGTGTCCAGGGCAGTGCGGGGCTACAGACACGACTCCCAGTGCAGCTGCAGGTCCGTGCTGTCTAGAAAATCGGCCGAGAAGACGCTCGGCGGAGTGTGCGGCACCAGTGGGGCCAGGCTCGTTCCTCCGTCTCCGTCACCAGCTCCCCCTCCTCCTCCGCTGCCCCCACTCCCACCGCTGGCACTCCCCACCATGGAAATATCCAGCCAGTCCATGCTGTCCAGGGTGGGGTCGCCAAAATCCAGCCCCGTGGAGTGGGGGGAGAAGCCGAGGTCGGACGTGTCCATGGGGGTGGAAGGGTGGTCCAGGATGCTGGGCGTGCTCAGCATTTGGCTGTGAAGGTCGTCGATCAGCGTCAGGCCGCCGCCGGGCTCCACGCCCAGCAGCGGGGCGCCCGTGGTGCTCTCCAGGAAGTCCTCCAGGCGGCCGCTGCCCGTGCAGGGCTCTCCCACAGAAGGCTGAGGGGAGATGAGAGGGTCTGTAGGCGTGGGAGGGGAGAGGTGGAGGGGAGATGGGGGAGAGGATGGGGAGGGTGGGTCAGAGTGGAGTGCTGCGAGGGAAGGGTCCGGGTTGGCCTTAAAGCCGGGGATTTCTGAAGAAGAAAACATGTCATTAGTAAAAGAGGAAACAGACTTGTTGCATTTCTCTCATTAATGTTGGTAACAGAGTTTATTACCTCCACTCTTGAGCAGGATGTCAAACAGGTCGTCCATTTGCTGACTGTTGACGCCGTTCTCCTGCTAACAGAGACGATTCTTTTTCAGTCAGCCACCAATCACATGTAAACACAGCACCACTGGCTTCTCCACAACAGACAAACATGCATTAAAACACACACTTGGTTAGTTTTCTGTTCATATTGTTTTCTACGTCAAACACACGTCTCCTCGGTTTCGTTTAGTAGCTGTGCTGGTGGCTGAAGTCCCTGTTGTACTAGAGAGCATTTATACTTTTGTTCGTTTACATTTTCTGTGTGGACTTAACAATAGTTGTGCGAAACAAAATAAGCATCGTGTCCATCGTCCTCAAAGCCGCTAACCGTGACTTTAGACGTCTGCTCCGTAGGGCTGATAATGCCGCTGGACACGCCTCTCGCTAATCGCTCCAATAACAGCTGCTTCCTCGCATGTAGGCAGTAGTAGCATTAGTAAATGCTAAATTTAACTGCATAACAGCTGCTAGCAGAGACAATAAGGTTATCCATGTTGAAACGAATCACTGGTAGACCTGGCTGTTTGTTTTCTTCCGGAAAACTGCTCCGTTTTCGGTGCTCTAAACCTCCGGATCAGTGTGGACGCTCAGCGGAAACGTAGCAAAACATGCGTTTTAAATGGAAAAGTAGTAGTGTGGATGTAGGGCTTTGTGTCTGTAGATTTGTGTCTTTATTATGCAAACAAAAAAAAATGTTTTAAAAGCAAATTTCTCGCACTGCAATCAAAAATCAAGTTTGTAAGTGAAAATATATAAACTGAGAATAATTTATTTGTTAGTTTTGCTTATGGAACTAGAATTTTTGGTTAAAAAAATAAAATCTTTGGTTAAAAACAAAACAATCTCTGGTTGAAAAAAAAAGCTTTGGTTTTGAAACCAAAAGCTGAGTTGGGTGTAGTGGGCGGGGCATACGCTGCTGAATGTAACAGGAGTTTCTATTGGTCGGTTTGACTTGTCTCTCGGTATCTGCATCATCTAAACAGTGGGAGCTACATGTCAACACAGCAGCCCTCCATGTCGTTCTTAAAAAGAGACTCCACGACACTAACAACATGAGAACAAAGTGAAGTGCTGCTATATTTAAAATAATTTTGACAAAACAGAGCAGTCAACTTACCTCCATGTCACCGTAACCTCCCGTCTGTGTTTAGATGATGCAGATACCGAGAGACAAGTCAAACCGACCAATAGAAACTCCTGGTACATTCAGCAGCGTATGCCCCGCCCACTACACCCAACTCAGCTTTTGGTTTCAAAACCAAAGCTTTTTTTTCAACCAAAGATTGTTTTGTTTTTAACCAAAGATTTAATTTTTTTAACCAAAGATTCTAGTTTCATAAGCAAAACTAACAAGTAAATTATTCTCAGTTCATATATTTTCACTTACAAACTTGATTTTTGATTGCAGTGCGAGAAATTTTCTTTTAAAACATTTTTTTTTGTTTGCGTAATAAAGACAAATATACCTTCATCCTAGAGCTGCTGCTCTGCCAACAATATTAAATACATTTGTTGGCTAAAGAAATATACATATAAAAATGTATGCAAATGTCACCTTTTTTAATGTGATAAAATGTACTAAAGTTAATATTCAGTGAAAGACGTTGTATTCAATCTGGCAGAATCCAGTTTGGGAACCACGGATCTAAAAGGTTAAAAATAACACATCTGTTTCACTTCTGTTGTGTGGTTTTATGTTGATATATAGCTGCAAATGAAACTAAAACAGAATCTACAGCAAAGAGACATGCTTTATGAAGTCTCGACAGACCGGAGTACAATGTGTTGTGGTTTGATTCTCACTTTCTCATTACTTGAAACACTTGACTGACCACCAGTCACCTTTTCTACCTGCTGATGTCCCGCATCTGAATGCAAGTTTACAACCACTCTCAGAATACATAGACGCGTTTCCCATAATGCTTCCAAATCCATTCCTGTAGAACCCTAAATGTTAGAGGACTTTCCTTTAAGTCAGACATGAATGGAAAACCTATTCAGTCGAGCACAGTGAATCCCACCACTCCCAACCCTCAGCCCAAAAACATCCCAACTGCCTTCAGTTCAGTAACACGAGCACACAGCTCAGTGTGAGAAGCTGAGAGACAGGAAATGGAGGGACAGACGGAGACAGAAAAGCACTAAAAGACAGATGGAAAGAAAGACATGCTGGAAGACATACTTTGGAGCGTTGAGTAGGAAGGGAGGTGTTGGGTTTGGGAGAGGGAGGGGTGAACAGTGTGTGCCGGTCATAAGGCGGACACACCTCCTCTCTCTGCAAGGATGAAGTGATGAAAAGATAAAAGGAATAAACAAGGAGAAAAGGTTAATGAAGCTCCCAACGCGCCCGATCAGAAGAGAGGACGTGACGACTGGAACTACGGGAGCGAAAGAGTGGGTTGTGTTACCTTAAGTGATGAGATTAGGCTGCTTTGGCTTTCACTGTCTGACATGTCTTCAAAGAACGGCTGCAGACTGGGCGGAGCAGTGACCGCCAGGCTGGGTTGAGGTACGCCATCGGTGTCCAGGTGCAGGCCGGCCTTCTGTCCCTGAGTGGAGAGAGGGACGCAGACGTATTTAGTACGCACAACAGCAGAAACCAATATGTTGAATACTAAGTTGTGATTGGCTAGTGTCATCTGAGTAACAGACTGCTGGTTCACATTTGATTGTGATGATTTTAAACTGTTAGTGGTGCCACCTTGTGGCAGGAAGATGTTACTGCTTGGCAGATGCAGACAGTCTTGCATCACTACAGTATGACAAAGAAGCTGGGGATAACAATAACAGCTGCGTACATTTTTTAGACAATTTCCTCAGTTATGAATGGCTTTTGTAATACCCCGTTCTCAAACTTTGAATTGATTCATCAATGTATATTATATGTTTACATATATCTGTGTATACTAAGTATAAAGCACTTTACAGAGGAGGCATTCAAAAATCAAGTAAAAGCGAGGGAAGAATCATCAACATAAATGTGTTTTCTCTATATGAATAAATATAAATGAGATAAATGATGATTATTAATGAGTCTATATTGTACCTTTTTGATTGGCTCGGCCTCTGGTGGCTCCTTTGATTGGCTGTCGGTGCTGGGGAGTTTACTTGGAGTTGACTGCAACCTCTAAAAGAAGACGAGAAGTGAAAGTCGGAGATAAATATTACGTCACACATCATTAACCCTGTGCAGTCCACCAACGAATAGCCGATTCACCGTACCTGCAGTGTGATGCGCCCGTTGGCTTTGGCCAATGAGGACACTCCGTTCTGTCCGTCTGTGGTGTGACTGGTGAGAGCGATCAGGTAGTGGTTGCCGTTGCTGTCGGTGACCAGTGTCGGTGTGCCATTTGCCTTGAGGAGGTCTAACGAAAGAGCCTGAGTTTGGATCTGAGTGCCGTTCTGCTGGTTGATGAAGACTGGGGTCACCTGGAAATGGAATCCAAACAGCGTGTTCACACCTGGGATTTTTTTTCTATTTAAAACTTATATTCACATAAATGAAAACGTCCACATATTAGCTACCACCTTAAAGGGTTGATGATGTTTTCATTATATAGAGCTGCTTGGACATTACCTGTTGGCTGGTGACAGCTGCCGTTTGTTGTCTCTCCTGCTGCCGCTGCTGAGCCCTCAGCTGCTTCCTCTGCTGGGTTTGGCTCACTGCAGGCCTCTGGATCTGCACCTGAACTTGCTTCAGCTGAACCTGGTTCGTCTGATGGCTTTGTTGAACTGGCCCTTGAGTCTCTTTGAGCTGGTTCTGCTGCACCAGCCTCTGTTGGCCGAGTTTCTGCTGTGCTAACTTCTGCTGTGCCTGGAGCTGTTTCTGTTGGGTTTGCTGTATGATAAGTTGCTGCAGCTGCTGCTGCTGCTGATGGAGCAGGATTTGGGCTTCTTTCTTCTGCTGCTGTAGTTTCTGAGGGTTCGACATAGCGTCTGCCACTTTCTGCAGTTGCTCCTGGCTCTGCTGCTGTTTGAGCTGCAGCGTCTGTTTCTGATGCTCGGCTTGTTGGATCTGCAGCCGATGAATCTGCTGCAGCCTGAGTAGAGTCTCCTGGGAGCACTGCATCGGCTGCGCTGCTTTCTTTGCCTGGAGCGCCTCCGTTACTCCCTCCATTCCCTCCTCAGGCTCCACCTCCTTCTTCACCTTCACCACGATGCCGTTGGGGAGACTGGGGGGCTGAATGGCGGAGGCTTTTATCAAAGTTTGAGGTTTAACCTCTGAAGTTCTGCTCTTCTCACTTTCTTCCCTCTTCAACACTATTCCGCCCGTCACCTTGCCCTGCTCCAGCTGGCACCTGAGGGTCTCCACCAGCCTCTGCTTCTGCCTCAGCATCCTGGTCAACTCCTCGATCCGTTTGTCCTTCTCATGGAGCATCTGGTCCTTGTCCAAACAGGACGTGTCCATGGCTACTCCAGACAGGGGCTCTGGAGGCTGACATGAGGCGGGTGAAGGCCTGGAGAGGCTGCATGAGCTCTGCATCTCCTCTTTCACCTTGGAGAGCGGAGAAATGTTTGACGGGTGCTGAGGAGAATGTTGCAGGGTGAGCTGGGTCAGGGGAGAGCTCACCTGAAGGACGACGAACCAAGAAGAGAATGTCAGGGAAACGTTTCAAGGAAGACGTTCAAATATTTGCCAGTTTTCTTAACAAAAAGAAAACTGGCAAATATATCAACCAATAAACAGGCTACTTGCTTTACATCTAGATCTCACCATCTCTCCAAACATGTCTCCATTACAGCTCGTCTCATCTGGACTCATCCCGGCCAATGACCTCTCGGAGGGAGTAGGTGACATCGGAGGGCTGGAGCTGGTGCTGCCGAATCGCATGACCCGCCCCGGAATCACCTGAGGCAATGATGACAAATCTAACTTAAACCCACCCTCTCCCAATTGGTGGTCAGGGGTGGTAGTTGTGGTCGGAGAGGATGTGATGGGGCCAGCAGCTGAGATGGCGCCCTGCGGGTTACCATTTTTGGACACCGCTGTGGTGCCACCATTTTGCTCCTGGTAGTTGCGGAGCCTCTCGATAAGATCGTTCTTAGTGCCCGAGACGGTCAAACCACGCAATTTCAGTTCCTGTTTTAACTCGGCGACCTGGAGGATGAGAAAGCAGACCAGTACCTCACTTAGTAGGCTTTGACTCAGAGGGAAAGAGAACAGAACAACTCACACGTAAGAGACCAGTGGAGCATCATTTCTGGCTGGGTAAAGCTGTGTGTTTAACTTACTTTGAACTCGTCCAGGTTGGCGGGCAGAGTGCTTGGTCTGGCTCCTCCCAATGCAGTTTGGCTCTGACGGGCAGTCCCGCTCTGATTGGAGGGGTTGGGGGTGGTCGTGGTGGGAACACTTCGGGAGGGAGAAGGGCCAGAGTTGGTTGTAGGATGCTGCTCGGTTGGTGGCCTGAGAGGAGGCAGAAAACGGTAAAGTATGAATTTCGCTTGTTCTTCTTGAACAAAGCAGGGAACGTTGTGACTGAGGCCAAATCACAAAATCACACAAATGCAATGGTGGTAAATAGGAAATATATTGATTGATCATTTTTAAAATGACATACAGAACTTTAGAGTTTAAGTTCCAGGCTCTATCGTGTCGAACAGACACCACTAACGTGGAAGGAACAGACACCAGCAGCAGACAGTAATAATGAAACCTGCCTGCCAGCTGTGCTGTACAAATTAACTACCAGGATTACTGCTTTAATTTGACAAACAAAAAAGGAGAGTGGCAAACTAGATGACTTTGAATGAGTCAGTCAGTCATCCTCACTTCCACGCCGCACCGTCATGCTTGCCACTCACTTGGGAGGGGCGGGCAGGATGGTGTGGTAGTTATAGTGCTGCTGTTGCTGGTTGAGGATCTGCAGCTGCAGGAAAAGCTGTTGCTGGTGGAGGAGCTTCGCATAGGATGAGTCCATCTGGGGCGGACGCTCTTTATCTGCCTTCTGGTCTGGAGGGATGTACTGGTGGTACTTCAGCTTCTTCACCTACACCGAGGAGACGAAAGGGTTCAGAGGCAACTCAACTCTTTAAAACTTTTACTTAATACTTAAACTATTAGATATCATCAGTGTGTGACACTCGTCTTGCTTCATCTCGGTCTAAATCATTCACTGACTGCTGACATTCAAAAAAACATCTTGAAATCTCTGAATAAAACTTATGCATTCAGTGCATGTAGGCAGAACAATCAAGTTATAAACATAACTACCGTCAAAGAGCAATTATTTCCAGATCAGAAAAAAAAACAAAGTCTGCATTCTGGTGTATTGAGGGTATAGCGGATGCTCTACTACGATGGATTTCTCCTCTTATGATTGTTAAATGTCAAAACGTTGAGCCGAGAGAGAAGCCCTGGATCTCTCCTCTGAGAGAACAAAGCCACAGGGAGAGCCCCTTGATGGACTAGATGAGTGATAAACACCGTGTTTAAATCTGACAAACACAATCTTTTGCACTCGATCAAACCGTAACTCCTGCATCAGTTCACATGAAAACGAAACAAAGAGCTTGCTGACCTTGGGTTTGCTGTCCTTTGGTTTCTTAGGTCTCTGTGAGGGACGGTCTGAACTCGTCTTAGTCTGAGACTGCTGACACAAAGCGTGAGAAAAGGGGTCGGGGGAGGAGGAAGTAAAGAAAATGAAGAGATCGGGGACATTGAGTTAGCCAGTTATAGCTGCTCCACAAATAGAGATTAAGGCCAGAGTTATTCACAAGTCATCACATTGGCAGGATGTTGAACTTGAAACAGGAATAACCGGCATTACCCGCACCTTGACATGTCCAGTAGAGGAGCGGGAGCTTGCTAGGATCACCATCGTTCCATTTTTCACTCTTGGGAATGGGGAGAAGTCGGACCCATTCACCTGGGGAGGAGGTGGTGGAGGAGGAGGTGGAGGGCACTGTGTGATGAACTGAGGAGATATTACTCTGGTTAATATAGCGATCGAGTTTATCATAACCCGCTTTTGTTTGATGACCGACGATGGCAAGTTCATCAAACTGAAATTCTCTTTGTTTGAATTACTTCAAGTTCGAGCGATCAGCTTTTGAGTCTCTTGATTTGATTGAAATGACATCCCGCAATGGTACCTGTGTGGGGGACATGTCCCCGTTCTGGGTGAGCACGTCAGGAGGGGACAGCTGAGGGACGGCACTGAGGGGAGAGTCGTGATTGGTCAGCTGGTCTGGTGACAGAGCATCGCTGCTGTCGTCGTCTAGAGACGAGCTCTCTCCCTTCTGAGAATCTGTGACGGAGAGCAAAATATTTTCAGAGTCAGTGAAACAAGGTAATCATGGGAGCTCTCGGTGGTTTATTATACATTCCTGTGGCCAGTAAATTAGTGAAAACGGTGTATGAACGGTGTCCAGAGGGCAAAACCTACTCAATTCCTGGCTCCCTCACAATGCGTTCACAGTCAAACACAGTCATCGCTGTTCATCAGACTGCTGAGCAGCGATGACTCATTTTAGAGAAGTTATACAACACTCGATATCGCACATTTCAAAACAGGACTATGTCCAAACGCAGTTATTGTGTCATTTCTGTAACAGAGTTGTTAGTCAAAGGTTGTGTGGTTTAGTTTGAATCCATCCAGTGGGATGATGCCACCTGTAATTACAAAGAAGTGTGTGTGTGTGTGTGTTTGTACATCACCCTTAAAACACTGCATTACATATATAAGTGTGTGTAGATACCTGGATGTTGTAATTACACAGCTGAAGGTGTGTTCAGAGGCAACGGAATTTAGATTTTAGAGGTGGTGCAAGTGCACACAAAGTCAGCGGTAAAACAGCAACTCAACAATAGAGGTGAACATGTCGGCATTGATTGTTCAGATTCAGATCTGTAGCAGGTGGACTGTATGTTTCAGTAATGTGCATGCATTGTATTATGCTTGAATGTGTTTATACTGTCTGTATGGTTATTGATGGCTCCTTAGTGTTTATCTGTTGGACTATATTGTGTGTTAATGAAGCGATGAGTGACTGAATGAATGACTTGAATTAAATGGGTGCATTTTTTGGAGACGTGTGTGCGCGTAGTTACCCAGCGGTGAGTTCGGGCAGTCGACAGACAGGATGTTCTTGTGAACCAGTTCGATGGGGCCCGGTCTGTGGGAGAGCTTGTCGTTGAGGTCGTCGGCCAGCCGCGCTCGCTTCAGCTGCAGCTGCTTGGCCTGCAGGGACGGCTCTGCCGACGTCTCTGTGCAGGACACAGCAGAACAATATGCGTGCAAATTTATTCATAGAGTGATTCATTTTCATCTGCAAGATGCTACCAGGTACATGCTATGTAAACACAAGAGGCATACAGGCATTTCGTTCCTTTATGTATTTTTGAGCAGATCTATGAAGACAGAAAGTCAAATTCTAAGAAATTACAGTTTTTATAAATTCAGAACATACTTAAAATAAGTATAAAATAAAATAGGAACTATAAATGAACCGTATCACATGGAATTGGTTCTGTTTTGTTTACCGTATGCTTCCTTTTTCATACAGTTTCATGTCCCCTCCCCCCCCCCCCCCCCCCTCAACTTAAACCTTCACTAAGAGAATTCTTCTAAGATCTACATAAAAACTCACCCTCCAGAATGTGCATCCTGACCAGCTCAGAGCGCTCAGGACGACTCCGGATCTTTCTCTTCAGATAGTCCTCGGTCTGGGGAAAACACATTGTGGGCGGGTGGCAGCCGTAAGACATAAGAGGATCACAACCAAAAGGAGGAGAGACAGTGAAGAGAGCGGTGGAAGACGAAGAAGAACGAGGACAGGAGAGAGGCAACACATAGCTGGAATGCCACAAGACCTTAACAAACACCGCAATGAACTGCTGCTGATATGCGGATACATTATTTCCTCTTACACTGCCAATACTGTGACATCACTCTTATTTGTGATGTTTCTGCATTTAGTTTAGTTTCTTTTTGTCAGCAAAGATGGTTCTCGTTGCAAATACTAACTATGCTACAACTAAACACAACCACAAAAGTCAACTTTGCATGATGGCATCTCCAGATGGCAGATAGAGATAGATCTGACCTTGGGTTATAAAACAACAAACATGCTATTAATGCTGAGCAGCTGGTTTGTGCCGCTCTTTACCTAAAGAGTGCTACCGTACTACTTTTTGTATGGTACCTAAAGTTTTTCAAGTGTCAATAATGACAGTAGAATTCAATGACCAATATTGATTTGCCATTCATGCCGTTTACAGACACCGTGAAGGTTTTGCCCCGCAAAGCTTCAACAAAGCGAGTCCCCTGAGAAAGCTCACAGTACTTGAGACGCTCACCCTTGCTCGCTCCAGACTCCTCCGCTGCTCGTGAAAGGCTGCTGGGCTCTTCAGTGCTGCATGGAGAGAGAGAGAGAGGGATGGAGGGGAGATGAATGCAGCTCACAGGGACTCTGATGATAGATGTGTTGCTCCTTTTAGCAAATGACAATGTGAGAACAGATACAGCCACAGAGGAAGACAGACTCAAAGCAGAAGTGGCTGCAAGACGCGAAGGTCAGGAGGGCTATTCTAACCACACACTCTGATGACAGCTCAGTAGGCTGATGGGCCACTGCAGCAGGCGGTGTGTGCAGGACTGAAGCACAATTATCTGCAGTAAAAGCCACCTGAGCAATCACAGAATCAATTTTACACGCCTAAATGTAACCATACTGCCTTCTAGGCGGGCCCAGTTGGTGACCTTAGTCCATACAGTTGTTCCATGTATTCTTTCTTTTAGTTTGAACGGAGAAAAGAGGTACTTTTTGATGTTTGGGTGAATCCCAAACCTCCAACACACCTAACCTTCTCAAGCTAGCAAAACCTTTTGTGTGCCAATACTCGTGCATATATTCTTTTTCATAAATCAGTACGAAAAACCTGCGTCATGATGTTTTTACATGGTGCATTTTGAGATTTGTAGATAGCCGGCTTCTAAAACTCTATAAAAGGTCAAGCGCCTGAGAGATGGACAGGAGCTGCGAGTTTGAGGGACATGAATTCTTGATGACTAATAGTCTGGAGTGGATCGTTAAAAAAGGAGCAAGGAGACGGAGGAGAGTGCGCAGTGATGGATCGACTGCTGCACATGAAGAAAATCTACATTCATCACTGCACTCAGCCATGAGCCATGTACGTAGTAGTCTATAGGTGGGAGCGTGGGCGTCTATGGGGGGGGTGTGTGTGTGTGTGTGAGTGGAAACACGTATTGACAACTATTAGTTATTTATTAGTTAATTTTTAGTTGTAATTAGTTTGCAATTTAATATCATAACTAGCTAAACTCACAGGATTTTAACGAGTAAGACTTGTACAGCAAGAGCATCCAAACAGGTAAAAACAAAGATGCCAACTGTATTTGGGGAAGGATATTGGGAGGTCAATGGCAGTTGCTGTGATGCAACATGGCATTCATCGGATTGGTCAACAGCTGGTGAAATTGCCTGCCAATGGAGTGTGGACATTGTGGCTACAGTGGGGCGTCAACTGTACGTGTGCCACATATGACTGGGTGGGTGACATCGCTCATGTCACAACTCCTGACGTTTGATGAAGACCTTTATACCAGTTTTTATACCTTTATACAACCAACGGTTAAGGTCACAACAGAACAGCAGACAAACTGATCAGCTGAGCCTGTAACTACTGTCTGCTGAAAGTCAACAATGCTTGCTCATGAAATAAGAGGTTGACTGATAGACGTTTGTCCATAAATCAGACTCGTATTGGCCTTCGGTCACCTTGTTTGCTGCAATCGAAAATGTGACATCATTTAAAAACAGAAACCTCGGGCAGCAACGAGCCGTAGAGTTTTCCCCACGACAGAACTGACAGAATTAATCCCTCTCATAACGGAGCTCTAATTGACACTTTATTCTGTTTCAGCAGAGAGAATGAAATGTAATTGAATGTCTGCCCAATCAATCACTATTTTATACTTGTAAATTCACAGAACCAACATTAAAACACCATCTGTCTTGTGTATTTGGCTGTGCTGAAACACTGAAGAAGCAATAGAGTCAAAGACAACAGAACAGAGACTCACACCAAAGAGCAGGACCAGTAGCTGGACACGTTTCTCAAAATGAACTATTGATTCAACAAAGCTCCTTACGAGATGCTGCTCTTAATGCACAATTTCAGAAAATGACCTTAACGTGCAAAGTGGAACTAAAATCCTTTGACAAAGACGGAGCTTTTTCAAATCAGTTTTCATTAACGGGAACACAACCTAGACACGGACTCCGCAATCTCTACAAAATATCTCGGGTGTTGAAGAAGAAACGGTCAACTTTCAAATGGTCAAATTTATCAGCCAGAAGCTCAGATATACTCAGGTTTCTTGTTGAATTACTACACCATGTGAAGAACACGAGCAACATGAGTATATCTATGCATTTAACCTCTCATAATCTCCTGTACTCTCTTGTAACGCCCTGCTTCACATATTAACACAGTGCAACAACAGTAATTTAGGAGCATCACTGCAGCAAGTAGGAGTTCAAGTGCCTTGCTCAACAACACTCAGCAGTGGTTACTGAGGGGAGGGAGGGTGGAAAGTTACTCATTCACACCACCTACATTTGCAAAACCAGTGTGAGGTTTTGATCCCACGGCAACACTGACCCTTCGTCAGTTCCCAGCACTCTCCGTCTCCTCTACAGCGTGGCAACACGGCCGTCAGCATATCATACACGACAGCTGAACAGCCAGCAATAGTGACAGCTGGAGAGGTTAGCGTAGCCGCTCAATAGCATATCATAGCAGGTGTTTTTTTTAAAGTGCCTGCCCCTTTTCAAAAACAGTTTACAAAGACGGCTTCTAAGATGGTTCTGTGTAACAAATCCTCTTGAGGGTCAAATTGTAAGGTCTGTTGCATAAGTAGGAAACAGAAATTTAGTGTAAATGCTAAAAGGTCGCGTGTGAGCCTCCATGCTGGCCACTCAAACAAGTACCTGGTCTGAGTGTCCACTCTGCTGTGTTCTTTCATGCCCAACCCATGCTATTAAATGCAAGCTGAGCCAGGTTAGCTATTTTAAGTGCATTGTTAGTAGACTGATACGTCGACTAATTAGTCCAGGGTTATATTACCACTAACCAACAGCAGTGGTGGAATACGACAGCTGAAATACAACAGCTGAAATACGTCTAACTTTTGAGGACGTGCAGCACTTTTTGGTTTCTCCACCGGCCACCGCAACGAGTAACACGGGATCCAGAAAAGAAATTGTTTTCAAGCACACCGACCTTTTTTCATTTTTGGACATTTGCAAATAACCTCTCCATCTTCCCCTCTTCAGACTCACTTTGAATATTGAGTGTGTAGTGGGGCACACTCCTCAGAGAAGGAAGTGTAGGGTTGTGAACGCAGCCCTCGGGCTAGGCTCCTCCCCCCAATTAATGCCAGCATTTATAAAGGCACCTGTGGTCCTGGCCTCACTCCTTTCTGGCCCCTGTCCTGGTGCTGTGGTGAGTGTCACACATATTCCTCCTCTTGTTGCTGTCTGACTATACTTACCCCTTGTTGAGGTGGTAAGTAGTCACAATCTTAACTTGTATTATTTTGCAGCATGGTGTGCCCTTTTAATCTCTGTTTATCATTTGTAGGTTCACCTGCTGCTGTTTTGCTGCCTCCATTTTGCCTGTTTTGTCTGCTTGTTTTGCCTCCATTTTACTTGTTTTTCTTTTGTTCTGCATGTTTTGGTGGTTTTGATGATTTTCATTGAGTCCTTTAAATATTATGTTCATTTTACGAAACACGTCTCTGTCCAAATATCGGTAATGAATCTGTGTGCCCTTAATAAATTCTAAACCATATATTAGGGTCGTTAAGTTTATATTTCCCGGGGTGTCAGTCCCCAGGTGGCGTTGTTGGTTCCCTTCAATTTCCGCCCGCCCGCCCGCCCCTAAGGCCACGCTACAAGTGCATCTCTATCTGAACAGTCACCTCGTCAGGTTTCCTGCTTTCCTTTGGAGACCTAATATATACTGTATGAAGATGGATAAGCGTGTTTCATTCTTATTAAATGTCTTGGTTTAAAAAAGCCTGGTACTTACTGCTCATAAATATGTTCAACACAGAAACAGAAGAAAATACAAAAAAAAGTATCTCTGCCTATTGTAATGTGCGGAACTCTGAAACAGGAAGTGGAGAGAGAAGAGGAAGCTGCTCAAATTTGATAACACTAAGTGGTGCAAAGACACCAACAAATGTGACACATGCAGAACGCACACAGTTGTACCATTAACACCTGTAAATAAGGGCAGACATTTTCAGCAAAAACCTGGATGCAACATTACAACCTTCATAATATAGTGTTGACTGAAGAGACGCTGATGTCAACCCCACAAAGAAAAGACACAATTCAAACATATCCGGCCTAGCCGATGAGGATAATCAGGCAGCACATTTAGCTTACAAAGCAATTGACCGAGTTTCTATCAAGCATCATAATATTAACACCCTCCACATGCTAAATGCAACAACTATGTTGCTGCACTACACACAACACTAAAGCTTTAGGGGAGTTTTTCAGTTGGAGGTTTTTCTGTGGTGTGTATAGAGCATGTGCATCCCTGCAGATGTAACACGATACCTTATGTATCTATACGTTAGCATGGAACTAGCAAATTTGAGCATACAATATGGACATTTGCAGAAAACGGAAAATTTGAACTCGGAGCTGAGACTTACGTGGCATGATCCCTTGGCTGACCAGCTCCTCTCTTGTACGTCTCTGCTGGAGTTTGAGCTGGAGGACTGCATGGAGACAGGAGAGGTGAGGGGGCAGAGAGAGGAGAAGAGTCAGTGACAGCCGGCGAGAAGAAGAAACTGCAGCGACGGAGGTCTGAGCTCTTGACGCTTCCTTATCGTCTCTTATTGGCCACTGATCAGCAGTCCGTCTGCTACGTTTACAAACATAACCATGCACGGGAACCTAAATGCATTTGGACTGACATGAGGAGGACCTGCAGTCTCTGACACCACATTCATCCTCTCATTTCCCCATTCTTGTGCTTTTTTTAAAGCTTGGAGGCGGGTACAAGTCGGGTGTGAGCAGGCTTCTACACACTTCCTGTTTCTTGACTTTTCAAAAAAAAAAAAAAAAAAAAAATTTTTTTTTACATAAAAAAAAAAAAAAAAAAAAAAAAAATTCTGTTTGCAGATGAAAATGAAAAAAACTATTAGAAGTATTTGTAAAAAAAGCAAGAAAAGCAAACAGCAAGAAAAGCAAAAAAGATGAGAGAAACCAGAAAAGGAACCGTTAGAATGAAGACTGAAACAAGACAAGCCTCCATTAGAGAGTAGAGAAAGAAATATGATCGCAAAAACAGGAAGCGCTCGTTACATAACACGGAGAGTTTTAAGGAACAAAAGGAGTAGGACCATGTTTGACCTTCGGCGTAACAAAATGCCAATAAATATATTAATTTAAAGAACACAAACAACAATTATATATGGACAGCTGCAACTGACAGTTTCACGACAACACAGTAAGAATTTAGGGAAGTGACCCTTCAGTCAGTCACACAGAACACTAACCAACTACAAACACATCACCGACCACGACAAGAATGTCGAGAACAGCTACAGGGTCACTGCCGACACTCGCTAGTGGTCGGGTGTTTGTCCTGAGGTCGGTAAGTAACTGATAATGCACTATACTTCCACTGTGCGTCTTTGAAATAAATGTGTGACACACTTACTGTTCATATTGGTTTTAAGTTTACGGTGCGTCATAGAATCAGAGGATGGGATGACTTTGTTATTATTCCAAATACTAGTTTTCCCCCCTTGACAGACATTCAGCTTAGCTCCAGTCAGATGAGGCTCCTGTTTTATGTGTCCCAGCTGTCCCTGGTGAAGGGCTATGTGAGGGCTATGAAGGGTAACACACCGGTGGGGTTGTGTCTGCTACACAAGCAGCACCTGTTCCTTCCCAACAAAGTGACATCATTCGTGCTCGCAGGCTAGCTAACCAGCTAGCCGTCCTGCATAGCTGCTGCTGAGTTAGCCCTCTGGTATGACAAACGTTCCAGGCCTGGACAGAAACGCTACGCAAGTTCCATAAATTAACGTCCGAGCCTGTGCGACTAAATGTCATGCTCTGCCTCTGTTATACGTACAAGAGTGCATGCTCAACATGGTGAGGGACTAGAGACTCCCCTCCGCAAGCAATAACACGTCAGAGGTTTAAACACAGCCAGGCAAGTTCACGTATATGTCGGCAGCTAAGATGTCATTTTCTTCTCCACAGCAGCAAACACACGGGCAAACGCTTAGGAGACTCAACGTGCTGCCCGAAACCGCACTCGCACACAAACAGACGCACAGGGACACACACGGCAGAGTGCAGGGTAGGATGCCGAAGCCACTTGGCACTTCCAGGGAAGAGGTTTATTCTGGGAAAGAGAATCTTACACTTTCCCTCTATCCCAGCCTCACATCTCACATGCTCCTCTTCTTGTATTCTCTCACACAGACGGTCACAGGACACTCCGGTTAACTTATTTATTCTCTGCTGCACTCCCTCCTCTCTGTATTCCTCTTCTCTGGCAGGAGATAATGGCTTATGTCACCAGTTTATCGACCGAATGAATTGTTAGGTAGAGACAGTTTGTACATATATAAAAAAGAAAGCATCAGCATCAGCCATAATTTTCCGTAGTGGTTTGAAAAATGTGCAGAAGTCTCACAGTGACACCTCGTACATTCTAACCAAGGTGCCAAGTGTGAAATGCTGCAGTGGTGATAAAACCGTAGGCTGATGTGGGGTGTCAGCGAGGGAAGAGGTCAGCAAGGTAGAGCCAAGTTCTTGGTGCCCACACTGGGTGAAATAGTGGGCACGAGGGTGGAAACGTACATGATCCACACTACCACACAACCAGCTAGCGAACACGAGTCGCGATGACACTCCAAACTCCAAAACACGACCAAACTTCACGCTTGGCATCGGCGTTGGAAAGCCTGTTAACGTTCTTCTGCGTGAGCTCATCGGTCGCACCGTGACTGCATCTGTTGAACGCAGTGGCTCACCACAGCAAATGTTTCACACATCAGTGAGAACGGAAAGAGGCTAGAGGGCAGGAACAATACAAGATCAAGGCCATTCACACCTTGGAATCACTCCTACTGCCTTCGCAGGGCCGCACTGTTTAGAAGCCGGAGGGGCCACGGTGAATATTACTCGTATTACTTATCTTAGAGTTCAAGACGGACGAGTCAATTTCAGAGTTTTATGCAGTTTGTCACTCACACTTTCGCTAGACATGATGCGTGGCTCCTTTGAAGAATTTAGCAAAGGTTAGCAGTTAGCTAAAGCACCTGGAACAATAACCGACGGCTGTAGTGTCATGTCTGCAGTGACACTGCAACACGTCAGCTGGTTCTATGTGTCGATGCTTTTGAATTCGTTCCCCTCACTTTTCTCTTCAATCACTTGAGCCTCATAGGAATGTTTAGCTTCAGCTGTAGTCAGTCCTCTATGACTCTGAGCCTTGCTTGTTATGTTGGCTATAAACAAACTGAAGTTTATTTTACTGCTGCACTGACTGCAAACAATTCCAAATTAGGCTGTATTAGGCTTGTATTTGATATTATTTCACTGTTGGCTGTCTCGAGTTTTCCCTTTCAATGGAAAAATATGTTTTTGTCTCTCCCCTTGGACAGTATTTGTTTTCCTCTCCGTTTTTTATTTCAGAGATATTTCCAAACCACAAGCACAGAGGCGGTGAGTGCCACACCATCACATTTGATACAGCCTAAAATACACAACTGCAACTACTACTCAAACTGAAAAAAATAAAAGCAGCAACTTCCAATTTAGCTGAAAATGAGAGTTTACAAGTATGAAATATTAGTAGCTAGTTGGGTCATAACTTAAAGCAATGTTTGTGCGCGTGGGTCCCTGTTTTGTTTGGTGAAGCCACATATACGATCCCTCCTACGGTCTCACACTCTTCCACTGATATACACGTGGCCGTAACGTGCCAAGAAATGCATCAACGAGCCAGCAGAGGAATTAAAGTAGAAGACTGCTGGCATGTGAAATGGGCGCACGATGGAGGTTTCAAAATAAAAACTAAAAAAGGTTTTGCAAATGTTTTAGGGAGGAAGGAGCTGCATTCAACAGGTTCTTTAGGTCTCAAGGATGCACACAATGAGCTTTTGGGAATAAACATTAAAATCCACAGGGCACCTTTAAGACTGAAGTAATGTGCGATGTGACTAACATCACAGGCTCAGTCATTTACACACCTCCTCGAATGAACATAGTGGTGAAGTCTGTCAGTCTATTCAACAGGTTCATCAGAGAGAACATTCAACCACTTGTACTTCCTTCCTTCCTTCATGGGCCAGTTAACCAAGTTGCTTAACTTTAGAAAAGCCCCATAAACTATTTATGTGAAGCCATAAAGTCCTGATATGAACCTGTAGAATGAATCACATAAAAACACAAATCGAATCGTCTCTACTGACTATGTGCAGGTCCGGATCGCCCACCTTCTTTCAGGCTGTGATACACAAGTCTGTCATGGTCCATTATCAGTCCTGCCTTCTCCATGTCTTCTCCCATTGGAGGAGAGCCAGGGGGGGAGGGCTCAAAGGACAGGCAATGGTTGGTGTCCAGCATTGTCATTCAGAAAGGAGATAAATTATTTTGTAAACATTGAACTTCTCCTATAAAAGCGGTCCTCCTCCCAAGTGCTAAATGTTGGCTGCTTTGGCTGAAGAGGGGAGGAAAGAAGAGTCCTTGATGTGTCCTAACTGCAACAGCTGTCCCTTCAATTGGCTGTCCATTCCTTCCCAGGGAAGGACATGAATCAAATGCGTCGGATGACCCCCATACACGCCAAAGAAAATCTCCTCTTGAACCAAAACGTGAAGGAAAAATGCTGCTACCGCCTCTCCTCTTCTCTCCAAACGCCTCGCTCTTCTGTATCAGAGGAATCGATTGGTCCGTCTCAGACTCTCTCTCTCTCTCTTCTTCCTCCTGCTCTCTCCTTCCCTTGCAGTGGGAGCCGACGAGTCACGACAGCCCTGCTCTGCCCAGAGAGACGGGGAAAGAAATCCTCTGGGCGAGTCGTGGATGAAAAAAAAACAAAAAACAATAAGGGAGCAGAGGCGAGGGAACTAAAAAGAGGGCAGTGGCGGAGGACGAGAGCACAGCAGTGAGCGCGGCAGAGAGACTGCTCTGGTTGCAGCTGATTCTCTCTCTCACACACACACACACACACACACACACACACACA